AGTGTCATCATGGGCTTGGCCTCCCTAGTTTTGAAGGTTCTCATTATCCATCCTGTCATTTTTCTAGCAGATGCGATTGATACAATGTTATGGTCCTTGAAGGTGAGATCCTCCGACATAATCACTCCCAGGTCTTTGACGTTGGTGTTTCGCTCTATTTTGTGGCCAGAATTTGTTTTGTACTCTGATGAAGATTTAATTTCCTCATGTTTACCATATCTGAGTGTGTACAGAATATTTTTATTGTCCTTCCAGATCAATAAGAAATTGTTCTATGGTGAGTCCTCCAAGGATAAGTCGAAATTTGTCTGTGTTTGGGATGATAGTGACTCAGATCAAGACCCAGATGACCTGGAAGTGGTGGAAACTGATGATGAATACTTGCCACAAGATGCAGAGGTGCCAACAGATGAGGAGGAAGCTATGCCACCATCCAAAAAAGAAGAAATTGAACAAGAAGATACTTGCTTACATGCAAATATTGCAGCAACAAGAATAATCATGTCACATCCTCATCTTCCTGTGCCACATGCAAAGTAAACTATCCATCAAGAAGGATAGAAATTGTTTCATAAAGTTTCATTGCAGAAATTAGTGATGTAAAAAGATCGTTCTTTCTCAGGGAACTCAGGAATATTTCATTTGTAAGTTGTATCCCATTGCAATGTGTCATTGTTGATAAGTAGTTCCTGTTTCTATTTTTTACTGCTTACAAATTGTTCAGAAACAAGTTAAAAAATATTTATTTGTTTTTTTACAACAATTGCAACCTTGCAACATTCTAAATTGTTATACCCCAAACGGGCAGGACCGAATATACTCAGTCTTCGAATATCTGCAATGGCCCGAGATGTTACTTTCACAACTCCGTTTGGATGGTCTCAGTGACCTTACATCGAGTGGCTCTATCTCCTCATACGAAATCACTTTCAAAATCCGCATTTTAGCCTGCCTTGCCCTCTGAAGGGTATTAACATTTCTATCTTTATCCCATCAATCCTAGCGGCCTTACCCCCTTTCATTCTACTCACTGCCTCACGAACTTCCCCCACACTCACAACTGGTTCTTCCTCACTCCTAAAAGATGTTATTCCTCCTTGCCCTATACACGAAATCACAGCTTCCCTGTCTTCATCAGCATTTGATAATTCTTTAAAATATTCCCTCCATCTTCCCAATACCTCTAACTTTCCATTTAATAACTCTCCTTTCCTATTTTTAACTATCAAATCCATTCCAGATTTTTTCCTTGTTTTCAACAAAATTTGTTGATAACATCTCACCCACTCTCTCATTTGCTCTATTTTCACATTGCTTCATCACTCTCTTAACCTCTCTTTTTCTCTCCTTATACCTCTCCCTCCTTGCATCACTTTTACTTTGTAGAAACCTCTCATATGCTAACTTTTTCTTTGTTACTACTCTCTTTACATCATCATTCCACCAATCGCTTTTCTTCCCTCTTGCACCCACCTTCCTGTAACCACAAACTTCTGCTGAACACTTTTATCTATCAATATGTAGTCCAACTAACTACTGTCATTACGTCCTATATCAAATATTTTATTCTTATTTCTCCTCTTTTTTTTTATTTGTATTACCTATAACCAAACCCTATTCTATGCAAAGTTCAGTCAAAGGGCTCCCATTATCATTTACACCTGACACCCCAAACTTACCTACCACACCCTCTCTAAATGTTTCTCCTACTTTAGCATTTAGGTCCACTACCACAATTACTCTCTCACTTGGTTCCAAAGATCCTACACACTCGCTTAATATCTCCCAAAATCTCTCTCTCCTCTACACTCCTCTCTTCTCCAGGTGCATACACACTTATGATAACCCACTTTTCATATCCAACCCTTATTTTAAACCAAATAATCCTTGAATTTATGCATTTATATTCCCTCTTCTCCTTCCTAACTCATCCTTCAACATTATTGTTACCCTTCCTTAGCTGTAACTCTCTCAGCTACACCTGACTTAATCCCATTTATTTCCCCCCACCGAAACTCCCATACCCCCTTCAGCTTTGTTTCGCTTAGGGCCAAGACATCCAACTTCTTTTCATTCATAACATCAGCAATCATCTATTTCTTATCATCCGCACTACATCCACGCACATTCAAGCATCCCAGTTTTATAAAGTTTTTCTTCTTCTCTTTTTTAGTGTTGTATACAGGAGGAGTTACTAGCCCATTGTTCCCGGCATTTTAGTCGCCTCATACGACACGCATCTTCTCCTGTATAATTTATTAGGAGGACAAAAGAGAACATTCTAAAGATAACATAAGATAAGTTCGCCTCATTAACATCAAGATCCCCTCACCAGCATCAAGATCCCCTCACCAGCACCAAGATCCCCTCACCAGCATCAAGATCCCCTCACCAGCACCAAGATCCCCTCACCAGCATCAAGATCCCCTCACCAGCACCAAGATCCCCTCACCAGCATCAAGATCCCCTCACCAGCACCAAGATCCCCTCACTATTATCAAGATCACCTCACTAACATCAAGATCTCCTCACTAACATCAATATCCCCTCAGCATTATCAAGATCACCTCACTAACATCAAGATCTCCTCACTGACATCAAGATCTCCTCACCATTATCAAGATCACCTCACTAACATCAAGATCTTCTCACTAACATCAAGATCTCCTCACCATTATCAAGATCACCTCACTAACATCAAGATCTTCTCACTATCATCAAGATCCCCTCAGCATTATCAAGATCACCTCACTAACATCAAGATCTCCTCACCATTATCAAGATCACCTCATTAACATCAAGATCTCACCATTATCAAGATCACCTCACTAACATCAAGATCCCCTCAGCATTATCAAGATCACCTCACTAACATCAAGATCTCCTCACTAACATCAAGATCTCCTCACTAACATCAAGATCCCCTCACTAACATCAAGATCCCCTCACCATTATCAAGATACCCTCACTAACATCAAGATCCACTCACCATTATCAAGATCCCCTCGCCATTATCAAGATCCCCTCACCATTATCAAGATCCCCTCACCAGCATCAAGACAAAACAATGCAATAATATGAAACTAGTTCTCCCAGGTCGATGTTAAAAGTGTCAACTTCACCTTGACTCTCTCTTACACTAACAACCTTGTAATATTGTTGCTGGAATTACCCACAATATGTTAGGTAAAAGGACAGAAATGCAACTATTGCGACATTTGTATTGTGGCAACGTTTCGCTCTCCAGGAACTTTGTCTAGCCGTTACAAACAATAAAAGGACACGGAGGGTATGTATATATCCTTCATATACCTATATATACCCTCTGTGTCCATGTATTGTTTGTAATGGCTTGATGAAGCTCCTGGAGAGCGAAACGTTGCCACAATAAAATGTCACATTAGTTGCACTTGTGTCCTTTTATCTAACAATATTAACCTTGTAAGTAAGATACATTAGTGTTGAAAGTTTAAAGTTTGTCGATCATTAAACTGAAAATGACCTTAAAACGCGAGTTTTTCAGTTTTGTTTCATTTATTCTGATCTCAAATTCTCTACAATACCAGAAAATGTTTGATTCTAATTTTTAAGAAAATACAATTGGAATCAACATGTTTTTAATACAAAAATAAAATAATTAAAATATTCTATCGTTTAGGATTGTAAGTCGATGAGAAAAAATCGTTCCTTGATTGTTACGTGGGAAACACTTTAAGAAAACTGAAAATTAAAATTTACACAAGTTAAAATGAGTTCTTTATTTTAGTTAAAACCTGCCACCAGTGAAAATTTGAAGCCCATCTGGAAAAGCATTCTTCAGTAATTTATCTATTTCCATCGATTCCCATGTTGTTTTTACAAATTTTAGTAACATTTCAAATTTGGAGAGGAGCAGCCGTAGCTGAGTGGTGAGAGGCGCGACTCTCACCTCTGAGGTCCAGGGATCGTATCCCCTCATATTCACTTTTCCTCAGACTGAACTTATGGGGTTTTTATACTTAGAGAATGATTCATATTTAATATTTTGAAGCAGATCAGAGGAAGTATTCTTTAGTATTTTAATACAAACGAATATCAATATTTATTCAATAAAATTTGAAATTCATGTCATCTAATAACAGCGTTAACATTGCCCTCAGGAAAATAAACCTGTAGTTAAATCTTGAAGACGAACTGGTAAGTTATTCTGCAGTTAAAGAATGGATTCGAAATATTCCTTTTTTTTTTTAACTGTTTTACTCTACTGACAAATATGGTTCGGTCCTCTGGTATGACCTATTTCCAGTGGGTAATCTCGCCTTCCAGTGACAGTGTCTTCATCTGCTACATGTTCCTCACCTGACCACAGTATATAAGCGCCAATCTTCATGTCTGTGCTACAGACTCTGCACAACTTCGGTGCTTTGAAAGATTACCGTAGTCGGTCGGAAATGAATCAGTCATTAAATGTTAATGTCCTTCAGAAGAGGAATACTGAAATTTATTTAACATTTAACCGGAATAAATATTTCCCAATTTCAAAAAAAATGTGTAATGGGCAAGTCTGCACCACTCTTCGCCTTTTTTCTTTTTGCATATTAAACTAAGTCACTGAGGGTTTTGGAAGTTATACGAGCCATTCCCGGAGGCCAGGAATGAGTTCAACAACATTGATCATGGAGGCATGTGTACATACCAATTGTTCCATGAAGCTGGCCCTAGTTACTGTACTGAAGTCCTGAAACGCTGAAAGAGATCGAATGAACACTTCTCAAGTTATTAGCGAAAGAAAAAGGAAAAGTTGGAGAAAGAAAAAATATTATGTCGAATAATCCACACAGAAAGCGAACTTTAGACACAATTTTATTTCCAACTGGACTGTTATTAAATCATATCTATGTCTTGATAATGGCCCAAGACTGAACGAAATGTTGTTTAAAGATTCTTCTCTATGAGTTATATGCGAATTGTTCTAGCCACGGAATTGTTTGCAATTATTTATAATTTTTTTTTCTTTGCAGTTAAAACCAAGAATCCCAATTTCTCGCATGGTTAGTAAAAGCTTCAGTCAACTCATGGCAGAATACGTACTTGGATCGATCATTTGCCATGAACGAAGCTGGATGACTAGTAGACAAAATCAGGTATGACATAAAAATTGATTCATGAGATAAACTAATTTAAAATTTTTCAGCCGTCGAAGTCTTAGAAAATAAATAACATTCGCACATCCAGCAACTTATTTTAATGTATTCAATCTAATTTTAATAAAGAAAATTTGTGTTCCGCAAAGTATTAATGAGTACGAGAACTGCTGTCCTGCTGGAAGTATTATTGTGTATGAGAACTGCTGTCCTGCTGGAAGTATTATTGTGTATGAGAACTGCTGTCCTGCTGGAAGTATTATTGTGTATGAGAACTATTGTGCTGCTGGAAGTATTATTGTGTACGAGAACTGCTGTGCTGCTGGAAGTATTATTGTGTACGAGAACTGCTGTGCTGCTGGAAGTATTATTGTGTACGAGAACTGTTGTGCTGCTGGAAGTATTATTGTGTACGAGAACTGTTGTGCTGCTGGAAGTATTATTGTGTATGAGAACTGTTGTGCTGCTGGAAGTATTATTGTGTATGAGAACTGCTGGGCTGCTGGAAGTATTATTGTGTACGAGAACTGCTGGGCTGCTGGAAGTATTATTGTGTACGAGAACTGTTGTGCTGCTGGAAGTATTATTGTGTATGAGAACTGTTGTGCTGCTGGAAGTATTATTGTGTATGAGAACTGTTGTGCTGCTGGAAGTATTATTGTGTATGAGAACTATTGTGCTGCTGGAAGTATTATTGTGTACGAGAACTGCTGTGCTGCTGGAAGTATTATTGTGTACGAGAACTGCTGTGCTGCTGGAAGTATTATTGTGTACGAGAACTGTTGTGCTGCTGGAAGTATTATTGTGTACGAGAACTGTTGTGCTGCTGGAAGTATTATTGTGTATGAGAACTGTTGTGCTGCTGGAAGTATTATTGTGTATGAGAACTGCTGGGCTGCTGGAAGTATTATTGTGTACGAGAACTGTTGTGCTGCTGGAAGTATTATTGTGTACGAGAACTGTTGTGCTGCTGGAAGTATTATTGTGTATGAGAACTGCTGGGCTGCTGGAAGTATTATTGTGTACGAGAACTGCTGGGCTGCTGGAAGTATTATTGTGTACGAGAACTGTTGTGCTGCTGGAAGTATTATTGTGTATGAGAACTGTTGTGCTGCTGGAAGTATTATTGTGTATGAGAACTGCTGGGCTGCTGGAAGTATTATTGTGTACGAGAACTGCTGGGCTGCTGGAAGTATTATTGTGTACGAGAACTGCTGGGCTGCTGGAAGTATTATTGTGTACGAGAACTGTTGTGCTACTGGAAGTATTATTGTGTACGAGAACTGTTGTGCTGCTGGAAGTATTATTGTGTACGAAAACTGTTGTGCTGCTGGAAGTATTATTGTGTACGAGAATTGTTGTGCTGCTGGAAGTATTATTGTGTACGAGAACTGTTGTGCTGCTGGAAGTATTATTGTGTACTAGAACTGCTGTCCTGCTGGAAGAATTATTGTGTACGAGAACTGCTGTGCTGCTGGAAGTATTATTGTGTATGAGATCTGTTGTGCTGCTGGAAGTATTATTGTGTACTAGAACTGCTCTGCTGCTGGAAGTATTATTGTGTAATAGAACTGCTGTGCTGCTGGAAGTATTATTGTGTATGAGAACTGTTGTGCTGCTGGAAGTATTATTGTGTATGAGAACTGCTGTGCTGCTGGAAGTATTACTGTGTAATAGAACTGCTGTGCTGCTGGAAGTATTATTGTGTATGAGAACTGTTGTGCTGCTGGAAGTATTATTGTGTATAAGAACTCTTGTGCTGCTGGAAGTATTATTGTGTACGAGAACTGTTGTACTGCTGGAAGTATTATTGTGTACTAGAACTGCTGTTTTACTGGAAGTATTATTGTGTATGAGAAATGCTGCCCCACTGGAAATATTGTTGTGTATGAGAACCATTTTGCTGCTGAAGGTATTAATGTGTTCTAGAACTGTTGTCCTGTTGGCGGAATTGTTGTGTATGGGAACTGCTGTCCTGCTGGAAATATTATTATTTATGAGAACCACTGGGCTGCTGGAGGTATTAATGGGTACTAGAACTGCTGTCCTGCTGGAGGTATTATTGTGTTTACCTGGAGTTTACCTGGAGAGAGTTCCGGGGGTCAACGCCCCCGCGGCCCGGTCTGTGACCAGGCCTCCTGGTGGATCAGAGCCTGATCAACCAGGCTGTTGCTGCTGGCTGCACGCAAACCAACGTACGAGCCACAGCCCAGCTGTTCAGGAACCGACTTTAGGTGCTTGTCCAGTGCCAGCTTGAAGACTGCCAGGGGTCTGTTGGTAATCCACCTTATGTGTGCTGGGAGGCAGTTGAACAGTCTCGGGCCCCTGACACTTATTGTATGGTCTCTTAACGTGCTAGTGACATCCCTGCTTTTCATTGGGGGGATGTTGCATCGTCTGCCAAGTTTTTTGCTTTCGTAGTGAGTGATTTTCGTGTGCAAGTTCGGTACTAGTCCCTCTAGGATTTTCCAGGTGTATATAATCATGTATCTCTCCCGCCTGCGTTCCAGGGAATACAGTTTTAGGAACCTCAAGCACTCCCAGTAATTGAGGTGTTTTATCTCCGTTATGCGCGCCGTGAAGGTTCTCTGTACATTTTCTAGGTCAGCAATTTCACCTGCCTTGAAAGGTGCTGTTAGTGTGCAGCAATATTCCAGCCTAGATAGATCAAGTGACCTGAAGAGTGTCATCATGGGCTTGGCCTCCCTAGTTTTGAAGGTTCTCATTATCCATCCTGTCATTTTTCTAGCAGATGCGATTGATACAATGTTATGGTCCTTGAAGGTGAGATCCTGCAACATGATCACTCCCAGGTCTTTGACGTTGGTGTTTCGCTCTATTTTGTGGCCATAATTTGTTTTGTACTCTGATGAAGATTTAATTTCCTCGTGTTTACCATATCTGAGTAATTGAAATTTCTCATCGTTGAACTTCATATTGTTTTCTGCAGCCCACTGAAAGATTCGGTTGATGTCCGCCTGGAGCCTTGCAGTGTCTGCAATGGAAGACACTGTCATGCAGATTCGGGTGTCATCTGCAAAGGAAGACACGGTGCTGTGGCTGACATCCTTGTCTATGTCGGATATGAGGATGAGGAACAAGATGGGAGCGAGTACTGTGCCTTGTGGAACAGAACTTTTCACCGTAGCTGCCTCGGACTTTACTCTGTTGACGACTACTCTCTGTGTTCTGTTAGTGAGGAAATTATAGATACATCGACCGACTTTTCCTGTTATTCCTTTAGCACGCATTTTGTGCGCTATTACGCCATGGTCACACTTGTCGAAGGCTTTTGCAAAGTCTGTATATATTACATCTGCATTCTTTTTGTCTTCTAGTGCATTTAGGACCTTGTCGTAGTGATCCAATAGTTGAAACAGACAGGAGCGACCTGTTCTAAACCCATGTTGCCCTGGGAGTGAGAGCTGCTGGACTGCTGGATGTATTATTGTGAATGAGAACTGCTGATCTGCAAAAAGTATTATTGTGTATGAAAACTGCTGCCATGAGAACATAAGAACATATGTGAGAAGGAACACTGCAGCAGGCCTACTGGCCCATGCGGGGCAGGTCCATGCCATCCCGCGGCTTTGACCAATGGCCTCCCCAGACAAGTCACCTCCATCTAAGGAATGAGCACGGCATCTGACCCAGTAGCACCAGGTAGTCAGGTCCAACTCACACCCATCGACACCCACTCATGTATTTATCTAACCTATTTTTAAAACTACACAACGTCTTAGTTTCTATAATGGTACTCTGGAGTTTGTTCCACTCATCCACAATTATATTACCAAACCAGTGCTTTCCTATATCCTTCCTGAATTTAAATTTTTCCAGCTTAAACCAATTGCTGCATGTACTGTCTAGGCTAGATATTTTTAGCACGCTATTTACATCTCCTTTATTTATTCCTGATTTCCATTTATACACCTCAGTAATATCCCCTCCTAATTCTACGCCTTTCTAGAGAGTGCAGATTCAGGATCCTCAGCCAATCCTCATAGGGAAGATTTCTGATACATGGGATCAACTTTGTCATCCTTCTCTGTATCTTTTCCAGAGCATTTATATCCATTCTGTAATACGGTGATTAGAACTGAGCAGCATAGTCTAAATGAGGCCTAACCCAAGATATAGAGAGTTGAAGAACAACCAGAGGATTTCTAATATTTATGCTTCTTGATATGAAGCCCAGGATTCTGTTAGCATTAGTGTGAAAGCTTATGCACTGTTGTCTTGGTTTTAGATTACTGCTAACCAGAACTCCTAAATCGTTTTCGCAATCAGTAATATTAAGATCTACATTATTTAGTTTATATCTTGCATGGTTATTTTCCTGCCCAACAGTTAGAACTTTGCATTTGTCTATATTAAACTGCATCTGCCACTTGACCGACCATTGCATAAGTCTATTCAAATCAGTAGAATGAATTGGATGGCCTATATCGGTGTCATCAGCAAATTTTCTTATGTCGCTATTTATTCCCTCATCTACGTCATTTATGTAAATTGTGAACAACATGGAGCCCAACACTGACCCCTGAGGAACATCGCTTGTGACGTGCCACCATTCTGGTTTCTTCCCATTTATGGAAACTCTCTGCTGCCTGTCAACCATGCCTCTACCCAGGAAAAAATTTCTCCTTCTATTCCGTCTGCCTTAAGTTTCCTCAATAGCCTCCGATGTGGAATTCTATGAAAGCCTTACTGAAGTCCATATACACAATATCATATTCATTACCATGATCTACCTCCTCAAACACCTTAGTGAAAAAAAAGTTAGTAAATTCGTAAGACAGGAACGCCCCTTTGTAAAACCGTGTTGAGATTCATTAATCAATCTGTGCCTGTCAAGATGGCTACGAATTGCCTCGGCAATTATTGATTCCATAAAATTTTCCCACTATGGAAGTAAGGATAATTGGTTTATAGTTCGAAGCTACGGACCTGTCACCTGCCTTGTAAATAGGTATTACATTTGCCATTTTCCACTTATC